CGCCGGGGGCCCGAGCTATGACCTGAACACCGCGTTGGCCATGACATCTCCAGGATTTTGAGGACGACCCGCAATCCATGAACATTCTGCAAAGTTGAAAGACGGATGTGCGCGGAGTTGAGGCGAGAGCATCATTTTGAAAACGGCCCGCCCTCCATTCGTGAAACGGCTGCGCATTTCAAGCTTGGGAATCATTGATGGTGAGGAAGTCTCAGGCGAAACGCCCAGACTGCTCTACCAACACATCTCGGGGTGCGACAAGGAAGAGTTTGTAGAAGGAACAGGAACGGATATGGAGGACAAGCAGGAGGAGGAGGAGGAGGAGGAGGAGGAGGAGGAGGAGGAGGAGGAGGAGGAGGAGGAGGAGGAGGAGGAGGAGAGGGAGGAGAAGCTGGAATAAGAGGAGGAGGAGGAGGAGGAGGAGAAGGAAGAGAAGAAGGCCTCTTGAGGGCCTCGTGGGCTTCTTGTGGGGTTTGGGGAGCCTTTCGGGGCCTCTTGGGGGCCTCATATGTTTCTGTTTGGGGGGCCTCTTGGGGGCCTCCTGGGCCTCTCGCCCTCTCGCGGGCCGCCCTTGGCCGGTGTGGAACCCTTTGTGGGCGCTTCAGGGCCATCTTGGAGGCCTGTGGGGCCGTCTAGCCCGCCCTCTTGGGGCGGTCTTTGTGGCCTCTTGTGCTGTCTTTGGGGGCTTCGTGGACCGCCGTTGGGCTGTCTTGGAGGCTTTTGGGCCGTGTTCGGATGTCCGAAGACTGACATGGCGAGAACGCGGCAACTATTGAAACATCTCAGCCGCGTGGATGCCAAACAGTGAATTTTTGCACTGGAGGGGTGGAAGCTATGTGGTATAACGGGTGGCAACTGGCGCCGCCGGCCGTGACCGTGACCGTGTCGAATCCTCGCCATCAGGAGCGAAAGAAGGACGTACATGTACATGAATCCACGCTGGTTTCGAGAGCATGCATTGCACAAATGTTCGTATCACGCGGCCGGTCTCGCGAATCGAGGGGCCGTGTTCATGTACATAGCTGAGCGCGTAGGTCCTTTGTGGGCTCCCTACGCCAGACCCCCCAAGCAGAAACGCGGGGCAACGAGGCGGCCACGTCGTCGCAGCGGGCGGCAACTGGCGGCACTGTGGTGAGTCCTCGCCGCCTCGCCAGACACCACAGGCGGAACTGTGCGGCAACGAGGCGGCAGCGGGCGGCAACGAGGCGGCAACGGGCGGCAATTGTCAGGAGCGTGGCGAATCTTAACGAGGCGAAGCCTCGCCAGACCCACTCAGCGCACGAGGCGGCAACGAGGCGGCAACGAGGCGGCGATGCGGCGAAACCTCGTCCGACCCACCCAGCACACGAGGCGGCAACGAAGCGGCAACTGGCGGCAACGTTGCGACACCTCGCCAGACTGACCCAGCGCACGAGGCGGCATTGAAGCAGCAACGAGGCGGCAACGGGCGGCAACGTTGCGACACCTCGCCAGACTCACCGAGCGCACGAAGCGGCAACGAAGCAGCAACGGGCGGCAACGTGGCGAAACCTCGCCAGACCCACCCAACGTATGAGGCTGCAAGGAGGCAACGGGCGGCAACGTGGCTCAAAACTCGCCGAGCCATTCCAGCACACGAGGCGGCAACGACAGCGAAGCGGCAAAGGGGCGGCAATGTGGCGAAGCCTCATGGAACATGGAACCCAGCACAGGAGGCGGTAGCGTAGCGTTAATTGGCGACAACGGAAACCTCGCCAGGCTCGCTCAACGCATGGGGCGGAAACGAGGCGGCAATGGGCGGCAACGTGGCGAACCTTCGCTGGACTCGCCCAGCGCACGAGGAGGCAACGAAGCGGCAACGGGCGGCAATATGGCGAACCCTCGCTGGACCCAACCAATTCCTCAGAAAGACGAATACGAAACCCTCAGGACAAACACTGTTTGGGGGACAGGAGCCTTCATGATTTTGGCCTCCTGGGGCCCTCTTGGGGGCGTCTCGGGGCCCTCTGGGACTGTCTTAGGGGACTATTGGGCCGCCTTTGGGCCCTCGTGGGTCCTCTTGTGGGCCTCTTGGGTGGTGTTGGAGCGTCGAAAGTCCAAAAGGGCGATACCGCTAAATGCATCTCAATGCCGAATGATCTTCCATGATGTTTGCCTCTTGAGGCCCTCTTGGGGGCCTCTTTAAAGCCCTGTTGGGGCCCCTTGGGAGCCTCTTCGGCCTTCTTGAGGCCATCTTGGGTCTTTGAGCCATCTTTGAGGGACTCGAGGCCCTCTTGGACTGTCTTGGGGTCGTTTGGGCTTCTTCTCGTCTGTTAGTCATGCGACATCACATGGGAACACACGCCACGCCCCAGGATATCGGATAATTTTGGGGTTCGGCACCTATATGTTCACTCCTCAGAACTCATGACGGAGGACTCAAGGGACCTCAGGACCCCCCATCTCGTGCCTCGGGGCACTGTGACGGATTTGTATTAATTAAAACATCCGTCGCGTTCGGAGGGGGCTCGCTGTACCTAGGGCCCCTCCGTGCTTGTTCCTCCAGCACGCCTGCACCCAGGCGAATCTGGGGCCCTCGGAAGAGGGGCTGCGCTCTTCATTCCGCGTTCCTCATGGTAGCAGCTCGCCTGCAGGCCGCCCCACCCCCCCCTGCAGGCAGCGACCTGGCCCCGCCGCCGAAGACGAAGCCCGCGCCTGAGTCGGAGATGGCCCCGGCGCCAGGGCCGCCGGGCCCGCCAGGCCCGCCAGGCTCGGGTGCACGTAATCATTGGATCGGCCCAAACCTCCTTCGGGCCCTGGGGCCCTTGCAGATGGATCCGCGTAGAGAGTTGCCGCAGACAGATGGGTGATGGGATCGAGGTCCCCAGTTTGCGTCCTTGGGTTTGCCCCGCCCCTCCCCGCCCCCCCATTCGCGCCCTGCTCGGGCCGCGCACCACGGGTCACTCCTTTCCTGCCCAGATCTCCGACGTACGTCGTGTCTTCTTCGAAGCGCGGACTTCGTTGACCGTCGTTTCATCCCGAGCCGTTTTCTGATGGCCCCAGGGCCTGGCGAGGGCCCCCGCAGGTGAACACTGGCATGATTCCTCCTGGCATTGTTTGGGCGACGCGAGCGGAGGCCAGGACAGGGTCACTCCTGGCGTGTAGCCGACAGGAGGCAGTTTTTCTTTGGACTCTGGCAAGTTTACTCGCATGGAGGGGTGGGGCGCGGCGAGGTCCGAAAGGACAGCTAGACTAGCCGCAAGCGCCGTTTGAACTGGCAGCGGAGGGGGGGGGGGTCTGGACATGTCATGCAAGTATACGTGCAGGACTCTAATACAAGATTTACTCCAAGGGGGAAGTGCTCGTTCTCGTTGGCTATCCCTGAGATCCAGGCGCTGCATTTTTCATCACAGCTGTTGCTCGCGGTTTCGGGGCCCAGGGCTATCACAGACCGATCCCATTCGAAAAATGGTGCAGAATGATCGGTCGAGGGCTCCAGTCGTGATTTCTTGTGATGTTGTTTCTTTTTCGCAACGCCAGATCTCAGAGTATTGGAGGAGGTTTTCGTAGCTGTTTTTCTCGCGTCGAGCCGCTTTCCGCAGCTGCGTCTCTTCGAGGGCGCTGTGGGGGTGCCCGAATGTCCCAGGAGGTCGCCAGAGGCCCGAGTGATGACCTAAAATCACCAGGCGTCGACAGGAGTGTATGTGTGTGTGTGTGTGTGTGTGCGTGGTTGGAGAGTACGGCCAGGGCCATTGAATCTCCCAGATTTCATGGCCTCCCCTTTCGTCCACGCAGATGCCTCGGGCCATGATGCGCTAAACCCATTCTTGCCAGTCTCCCTATTCTGCGCGCCCGAAAGGCACGGCAGAGAGCATCCGCGACGCAGACGCTGCAAACGAGTCCAGCGGCGTCCCGTTGACGAGAGACTCTGGCGGGGACCGGCGGCGCGCGCTTCAAAGGGCTACGAGTGGAGAGTGGGTCCTGGAGGAGATGAGCCCAAGACCCAGACCTCTTCGCGTCTTGAAGAACTCTTGACGGAAGGTCCGCGCTCTGGGGGCCCTCACCGGGCCCTGGGACTGTGGAGAGCGGCTCGGGATGAACACCGGTCCCGTGCAAGGTGTCGAGCCTTCCAGGGTTGCGCTTTCGGGAACAAAAATAAGACGTAGGAGGTCTGGAGGTGCTCCTCCCCGCTTTCGGGCCCCGTGTGGTCTTCCCATACCCTGAAAGGAAGAAGGTACGATCGAAACAGGACGGAAATCATATGGATCCAGACTATCAGCAGCTCCTGATCCCTGAGTGGAAGAAGGTACGATCGAAACAGGGATGGAATCATAGGGGCCCAGACTATCAGCAGCTCCTGATCCATTTGAGCAGGGGTCGTTGTCGGTGTTGCCGCAGACCGTGGGGAGTGTCCACTGCAGGTAGAAAGTCGTCTGCCTAGCGGCGGCCGTTGGCGGCGTTGGACGACATTTTCTGCTCTTGGGCATCGTGCCCACTTTTCCCGTACCCCCTTCAGGGAAAGCTCCGGGGTCGAGGACCCCGAGTCCGGCAGGACATTGCTCCGCCAGTTCCATCCAGCAGGGCGAAGGGCGCCAGCCTGCTGAGACTCAGAGGTGCGAGAAGCAGTGCTGACGATGCGTCCCGAGATGTCCCGTCACAAGGGGGCAGCTTTTGCCAGTTTTCGGCCTCCGGGGGGCCCTCCGTGGGCCTGGGGCAGTCAAAGATCGATTCCGTGTGAGAGCCCGGTCCTGTGGAAGGGGTCCCGGCTTCCCGGGTTCCATGTGGTGGCAAAGATCACGCTGTCGGAGGTCTGGAGACCGAGAGGTTATGGGTATACCGGGTGCGTTTCAAGATTTCCGGGTTTTTTGCCTTCCCTCGCGGCCCCGAGCGCGAATGGCCGAGGGTTGTTGGAAACCCTGGAATTCACAGATCGCGCATCCTGAGCAAAGCAAGGGGGGCCTCTCATAGGAGAGGCCCTGGCCTTTCCCGGAGGCTTCTCTGGATCCATAGTCTCCCGTGTCGCACTTTTTGATGACCTTCCTGGGTGTTGGGCTTTCGTTTTGAATAGACTACTGTGGTCTCCGTCCTCCCCCTCCCCCTGCTCTTCGTCCTCCTCACCCCTCCTTCTGCCTCCTGCCTCCTCCTCTCTTCTCCTCCTGCCTCCTGCCTCCGTTGCTCGTGGCTTCTCTTCCGTCGCCATGTTGTCTCAATGTTGATGTGCGGGGAGGCTTCCGCCTCCGTGCCTGACTGGGATAGCTCTGTTTCCCGATCCAGCTTTCAGTGATTTTGTGAGCTCTTGCTGGAGCAAAGATTTTGTGAGCTCCTGCTGGAACTACCGATGGTTGGCAGGAGGAATGCTACGGCTTTCGCGACGTGCGGCACGTGTGGCAAGTGGGCCTGGGACTGGCGGTTCAAGCGCCAGAAAGGGGCCTGTGCCATCTGCGGCACGGTGCAGCCAGGATGGACGACGTCTGGCAACGGCACGTGGTTCGCGCCGTGGTGGTCCGACGGCAAAAACAGCAAGTCCAAAGGCGAGTGACATGGCCTGCCGACGGTGTCCACGCTCGAGGGTTACATGTCCAAGGCGATGGTGTCGGCGGGTCTGGACTCGGACCCTGAGGCAACGAGGTCTGCTTCGCACGCAGGTCAAGTTGCTGGCCGACGCGAAGAAGCGTGCCACCCCGCCCAAGCCTGTCTACACGGTGCTCGAGGAGGCCGCGGCGGAGTGCTCCCGCAAGCAGGTGGTGCTGGACAAGGCTGCGCGCGTGGTCGAGTTCGCCAAGCAGCAGCTGGAGAAGGCACGCGAGGCCTTTGACAAGGCCACGGAGGAGATGATGGAGGCTGAGTGCAAGCGCCTGCAGTTTCACGAGTCTGTTGGCAACGCCCCCGACAAGACGGAAGGGGTCATCTTCCAGGTCGACCCGACCTTGTTCGAGTCCCTCGACGAGCTCGATGCGAGCGACAAGGCCGTGCTCGAGGCCTTCCAGAAGCAGTTAGACGACATCTCGAGGCAGGCGACCGAGAAGCAGAAGGAGTTCCAGGCGCTGCTGGGGCAGGCGAGGAGCGCGCGCAAGGAGGCGGCCACCAAACGGCACCGTCGCGACGAAGGTGGCGCATCTGTCCGTGGAGCTGGGGGCCAAGGCCGAGCTGCTCAAGGAAGGTGGCCAAGATGCGTCCTCGGCAGACGGCGCCCGACCCTCTTCCGAGCTGCCCGAGCCGGCGCGGAAGGACATGGGCGAAAAGTTCCGCTCCAACGCGGGGTCGCAGGCGCAGGCGGCCAAGGGCGTGGGCAAAGGCGGCGGCGGCTCTCCTGGTGCTGCTGCAGATGCTGGCACGGCTGGCGCCTAGCGGCCAGGGGTTGTGCCCATCCCTCTGGGGCGAAGCAGCGGCAGTGCGCGATCGCGATCTACTTGCATCCCCCAGGCGGCGCGCTTCCTGTCCCGGGAGTCGAGGCGCAGCGCGGCTGTTTTCTGCGCGACCCGCAAGGGTGAGCTGGACATGCCCGACATCTGCGCGGGTCTGGACAAAGGTGGCTGGAGTCTTGTGCACCCCGCTGCCCGCCCCTCGGGCAAGTCGGATTGGGGGCGCCTGGTGGCGAATGGGTTCTAACGAAGAGGCATTTTGCTGCGACGAGCTTTGAGGGTGCCCGCCGTGCATCTGTGGATTCTGGGCGGTCGGGCCCCTGCAGAGGGTTCGCACCTTCGGCGCTGCGCGCCAAGGCGGACAGCTCGGTGCTGATCTCGGCCTACCTCCAGCCAGGCCTGGGAGTGAAGGGCTGGGACCGGGACGTGCTGGTCGCCCTTGGCGCGTTCGTGCGCCCCCTGGCCGACCCGTGCTTGATCGTGGCCCACTGGGATATCGGGCCAGGCCCGTTCGCGGCCACTGGGTGGCCTGGGCGTCTCCTCGTGCGCTGCCTGACCCTGACAGCAAGGTTTCTGAGAGGAAGGGGGCTGCCCACCTACGTAGGCTTCAGGATCTACCTGCTGGGCACCACGAGGCCTTCGACGACCTACACCAGCGCCTTGGGGGCCCTGGGGAGAATGCGGCCTTTGCTATTTCTGTGGAGACATAGGATGAGGCAAAATCACAAATATGTTTGGGAAGACGTTCCTGCCGCGCATGGGCTGGCCCCCTCCGGTTTTCTGGGGCACCGTGCCCCTTATGGCCCTGCCGAGCACTTCGGCTTCCAGTGGCAGGAGGAAGCCAGTCGCTCTGTTGATGCGCCACGCGATCATTGGGCAGCTGCCATGGACCGCGCAGCGCTGTTACATGAGAAGGTCGAGGCTGAGAAGTGGAAGCTCTGTTCAGGCAGCGCTCGTGGACCCGCCTGCTGTTGGAAGCTGGTTCGTTCGACTCCAAGCAGAGCGCGCGTGAGGAATGAGCGGGCTGAAAGGTGGGGCTCACAAGTACGCTAGCGATTAGGCATGCGTCGCGGAAGCGCAACGGTTCCGACCTTGCACAGGCAGCTAGCTCACCGCGTTGCGAAGGCGCGCGAACTGATCGAGCAGTTAGACTGCACGGGCGGCGAGACCCACTTTGGATAGGGGGGGGGGGCCCCAGGAGATCTTCGCGCGGAAGGGAATCGGCGCTAACCTGGATGCCGTCTCCTAGGAAATGTTCCCTGAATTGCTGGAGAGAGCTCGCAGGTGGGCTGATCGCTCTAATGCTCGGGCCCTGCTGCCCTCCAGGTCCTCCTTGATGAAATGGGCCCGGGACATGTGGGCCGAGGAGCCCGGGGCCGTCCACCGCCGCGTGAAACCCGCGCCTTCCCCAGATTGGGAAAGCAAGGGCCCCCTGGGGCGCGGTCGCCCCCGATGACCAGGCAATGCTGCCGTGTCTGGCTACTGAATGGAGAGACAGGTAGGTGGAAGGACCCCGTCGACAAGCCCCAGGACATTGGACATGATGCAGCGTTTTCTGGGCGAGGCGCGCGCTGCGCTCTGCTGGTTCTGGGCGCCGTGCTGCCCGGGACACCGGCCATGAAGGCGAACGGAGTAGACGCGCTGAGCCCGCTGGCTCTGCTATTCCGGAGGAGCCCGGAGTTTGCAGAGCACTCGGCTTAGCCCCGATGACGCAGACGGTTTGGTCCCAGATGCGTGCGACAGTTTCGGGGGAGTGGTCGGCGTCGCTGTCTGCATTTTGGGATGCTGCGATAGCTGGATATTCTGCTCTGCGTGCTGCCTTGATTCGGGCAGTGATGGATGAAGGTGCGCATGGGGTGTCTTTCGAACACAGGGCGCTCTTCCTCGACCTCGTTGATTTTCATGATCATATGAGCTTTTTCTGGTTAATGCAAGTTGGCTTGAAGTGGGACTTTCATTAATAGTATTGCTTCTTGAGCTTGGTCTGCATTCGTCCCCTCGTCAAATGGTACCAGGTCAATTGTCGCTGGATCTGGGCATGGTTCTACTTTGGCCAAGGTGATGCTTCGCGGGCTGCTTGGCTCTGCGCGCCGCGCGGTGCCCCCCCGCGGGCTCGTGGAGCTACATCGGCGACATTGCTGGTGGAGCGGAGAGGTCCAAGCAGCAGGCTATGACTGTATTGGAGGCCACGGCAGATGTTATGGCGGCAGGCTTGGCTCAGCTACGCTTGCAGATCTCTTCTAAGACCAAGCTGGTGGCCAGCTCTGATGAGATCCGGGTGGGGCTGCAGCAGAGGAGGGCGAAGGGCATCCCTGCGGGGCATGAACGTTCGACTGTGCACCTGGGCTCAGATGCTTCGGCTTCGCGTGGGCGGGCTACGACCAGAATGGTGAAACGGCGTGCTCGAGCTAGACGGCGGCAGAAGAACGTGATGCAGGAACGACGTCTAGGCCGCGTGAGATTTGTGACAAAGAAGCCGTGTACTACTGGAGTCTACCCTGCAAAAGTACTTGGCCATCAGATCATGAAACCCTTTTCCAAAGACGCTGTTGGCTAGAAGGAGTGATGCGACTGCTGCTGTGGCGGGCGCCAAGAGACGCAGATGCTTGACGACGTTGCTCCAGGTGGTCTATGGCACTGCTGATCCAGGAGGTGGTCTCAAGCGCCAGTTGATTCGCGAATGGGTCGTTCTTTGGCTTGCCCAGCCGCGCCTGCGCCTTAGGATAAGGAAGGCTTGGTCCTCGGCGCTGGCGACGCCCAAGCAGGGCATTGCCATTCGCTGGAATGATGTTCGGGGGCCGATCGCGGCCTAGCAGGCGACGTTGATCCAGGTCGGGTGGGATCCACGGCCTCCGCTGGTTTGGTCTCGCCCGCTCTCGGACGGCACGATTGGCGATTGGCTTGTCCCCAGCTTTAGTGATGAGCAGTTCGGCACAGTAGTGATGGCGCGCGTCGATGATGTGATTGGTGCTTCCATGGGTGATTGCATTGCTCAGCGGTGGCAGGCAGCTTTCCAGCATGTTGCAGGTCAGGGCCTGGTTGACGGCGCCGACATGACGACGGTGCGAACCGAGCTGAATCGCTTCGAAAAGCGCATGCAGTTTGACGAGTGGTCCGCCGACTTTGCAGTCTTGGGGAGTGGCCAGTGGACTCGTGAGAGGCAGATTGCTGCAGGCTGTGCCTGCCCGCCCGTGTGCCCCCGCTGCCAAGAATGGCTTGAAACTGCAGTGCGTCGAATTTGGATGTGCCCCGCGATCCGCGCGCGCGAGGATTTTGAAGACTGGTTTTCTGGTTCCCCAAGCCCTCGAGAGCCTCGATGCCCGGCCTGCGCTGCGGTTCCGCGGGGTGCCCCTGAAGGGCCTTATGGTGCCGAGGTTTGTGGAGGCCCCTGATGTAGCCCAGACGGTCCTTCTTGGGGAGGGAGGTGTTTCGGGCCACTGGGTCGCCCTTGGAGCCCCCCCCCCCTTGCGCATCTCCGGGGGTGGCTCTTGGGGCGGGCGTGGCGCGGGCCCCGGGGGGAGGCGATTCGGCCCGGCGATTGTTGTCATGAACCAGGAACCCCCGTCGCCCTTCTGGAGCCCCGTGCGTGGCGTTGCTCAGGTCCTGGTCGGTAGGCAGCAGGCGGTGCCGCGTGCTGAACTCCAAACTTTCTGCTTGGCACTTGAGAGCTCGTCTGGCCCTATCTGCTACGTGACTGACCGTGCGAGTTTAGTTGCCGATTGGCGCTCTGGCCGTGCCGGGTCTCTTTGGGGCCAACGGTGACCTTTGGGTCCGTGTCGGGCGTGCTCCGGAGGCCCGCGGCCTTGGGGGTGTCTCCGTGCTGTGACCCCCCCCGCACCGTGAGGAAGAGTCGCAACAGTTTGAGACGAAATCCGAATTGTTTTTGAGCCTGGGCAGCGCCTGTGCCGACGCTTGGGCGGGCACTGCGGCCCAGTGGGCCTGGGGCTGGCGCGTGGCGCCCCCCGCCCCTCGGGCGGATCTCTGTGGCGCGACGGCGGCGCTGGTGAGGCTCAGAGCTCGGCGCGCGCTGCTCGCGGCGCTCGAGGTTGAACCGTGGATCGGTGAGAGACCGCCTAGCGTCAAGCAGCCGCTTAACCCAGCCGCTTACGCCGTAGCGTTTGGAGGTGGCTCTGAAATCTAGGTCTCACGATTTTGCGCCGTTCGCTGGTCGCTGGAGGTGTAGGCTGTGTAAGGGTGTTGTCCCGGGGGGCAGGCTGCTCAACGGCGCCTCGACCCCGTGCAGTGATCCGCCCTTCGCCGCGTCGCTGGGATCGCATGAGGCGCTGGGTTACCTGCGGAGTATGGCGAGGGTTTCGGGGCGATCTCGGGGGGGGGCGCGCGTCGGCGGGGTGCCCCTGGATCCCAGCCACCGTCTCGCCATGGTGAAGGCCTGCGGGCTGTTCTTCTTCATGGCGCGCGGGCGCGCAGCCGCTGCTGATGCGCGAAATCTTGTCGGCGAGCGCCCCCCCCCCCCCCCCCCCCCCGCATCGGAAAGGGGGGGGGGGATTTTCAGAGAATTCAGCGAGGCTTGTTTCTTGGCTATCGTGGTCCACCAGCGCCCGTGATGGCGGCGACCGCAGTGGGCGCTGTGAGCCGCGCGCCACCCGCTCCTGGAGCTCAGGTCGGAGGAACGCCTGTTCAGGGGCCAGCGGGGGAGGCGCCCGACCCACTAGACGAGTATTTGAGGCTCTCGTCGTCGCGCCATCCGTGCGAGACGGCGACCCTGATGTGCGCTGAAGCCGAGGGGGTTCCGTGCCGTGCTGCTGCTGCTGCCGCCCCGTCTGCCGCCGCTGCCTTCAGAGGGGTAGCGGTCGGCTCCGCGTGTCGAGCTCCTGCGGCAACGGTGGCGGCGCTTCGCAGCAGCTGGCAGCGGCAGCTGGAGACAGTGGTGACAGTGATTGATGGCCGCTTGCGCGGCGCTCAGCAGAGTCCAGCAGAGTCCTGCCTTCTCCTCTCGCCTCCTGCCTCCTCCTCCTCCTCTTTCTCCTCCTCTTCCTTCTCCTCCCTTCTCCTCCTGCGTGTGGAAGGCACGGTGGAGTGCAAGGCAGCGCGGGTGATTTTTGGACCTCGCGGTTCCGTCGGGGGGCTGCGAGCTGTGCGATTGTCGCCACGATCGTGGGCTCCCAGGAAGCACGGTGGAGTGCAGGGCAGCGCGGATCATTTCGGGACCTCGCGGCTCCGTCGGGGGGCTCGCGCAATTGTCGCCACCTTCGTGGGGTCCTGGGAGGCACGGCGGGGTGCAGGGCAGCGTAGATCACTTCGAGACTTCGCGGCTCCGCCGGAGACTGCAAGCTGCGCACATGTCGCAACGATCGTGGGCTCGTGGGAGGCACGGTGGGGTGCAGGGCAGCGCGGGTCGTGCATATCTCCCGATGTGTTTTTGTGCATGAAGCGTTCATACAGATAGTCGCTTCGTGTGGAAAATGGGCCGGGCACGCCTGAGGTCATTTTGTTGTGGCGCGCCCCCCATGCATCTCAACCTTTCCCTGGGGCCCGCCTTTTGACCCGAATAAGTTTCGTTTACGGTCGTGGGGCAGAGTGACGGCCTGAAAAGTTCGATCATTTTGAACAGTTGGCCTTGACGATCTTTGCTGTTGCGACGCCTTGATGCTTAGTCATACCAAAAGGGGTCCGAGAGGATGGGTTGGAGGAAACCGCCAGCGGCGCCGATGCGTTGCCGAGGTTGCCGATGCAGCGCGGTCATCCGGCCACATCTACTCGTACCCAATCTAGGAGGCTTCTACAGGTGTGAGGCAATGCCAGGCAGGGAGGGCTTTTTAGAAACGGGCGGTTTGCCCCCCTCGGAGCGGCAACCGCTCCGAACGTCGTGCGTCACGAGCTTCTTCTGTGCCGTGAGTCCCCCGGGCATGCTTGGTATCGTGGGACGCTTTGCGGTGGTCATACTTTGCGTCGCGCCGCGATCGGGAGACCGCTCTTCTCCATCTCGACGTCGCCGACGCATCGCCAATGCTGCATCGGCGGTGCGGCGCGACTCTCCGACCCCCCCCCGCTCTGTCGCTCTGTCCCATCTGGGAGAGGCCTCTTGTTGGAAAAAAGGGGGGGTCCTGCAGGCTCTCGCTGTGTCGGGCTCCAGGGACGCGCTTCCCCACGCCCCGCGAAGCCGCCAGGAAACACCGCCCAGGATGAAGAGGTGAGAAAATGATCGTGGGGGGCAACCTTTGGGTCCAGCCGTTTCCGCCAGGGTCCTCCGACCCCCTCCGCTCCAGCCCCAGTTGGGAGGTCCACACCTGAGGTAAGTCGGCCGTCCCCATTTGTGTCCATGAGGCGTCGGATGCTCGGCGCCGTTGGTGGAGGTTCTCTTGAGGTGCCAGCGGAGGCTTCTTTGGGTGCCGCCGAAGGTTCAGAGTTGATCCTCGATCCTGCAATTATCCCTCGAGCCTCGATCCTCGGATCAACTGTCCCTCGATCCTCTGTCCCCGATCCCGCATCCTCGAACTTCGATCTTCGGACATCGATCCTCAGACCTCGGTCTCGATCCTCAGACCTCGGGCTCGATCTTGAGCCCGTTCATCGGCCGAACAGGCTCCAGCGCCAAGGGTGCTCCGAAGAGAACCCTGGGGGAGGCCGAAGTTGGCCAACAGGCTCCCCTTGTGTTCTTTTGACCCGACGCCTAAGGAGGCATCTTCCCTGACCACTCCAGGAGGACGAGCAGAAATAGCAGCAGGATCTCTGGTTTTGAGTCCACTCCGAGGCTCGAAGCAGCCTAGCAGCTACATCTGGTCGCCAGACCCCGACGCCATGAACTTTTGACCCATTCCCCGCGACAGTTTTTTTTCATCCTGAGTCGTTCTTCGACTGCCCCAGGCCAGGCCAGGGCCCCCGGAACCAGCAATTGACAAGACACACCCGTCGTGGTTTTGCCATGGCCCCATGGGGGTCTGGGCCCATCATGTTCTGGAGGGTCATTTCTGCTCGGCGCTCTGGAGGGCCCACGACTGGGGCCCCTGGCGCGCCGCCCGCACAGGAGGGCTGGGCCGCTGGCATGCCCGTCAGGGTGCCCACGGGCGCGCCGCTGCCCACGCCTGCAGGCCGTCGGCCGTCGTTTCCGGACTCGGCGGCGACTACAGTGGACGTGGCCGGATGGGTTGGTTTGGCGGGGTCCTCTGCAGAGGTCGGCCACGCGCAGAGGCGGGTAGGGGGAGGGGGGGGAGGCCTCTTAGAAGTACCCCTGCTCCTAAGAAGCCTTCCCCCACCATACCCCCGTCTGCGCGCCGCCATAGTTCGTGCAATCGTTCGTATGTGATACGCACGTCGTTCAATATCGGCACGTGGCTGCCACGCGCCATGCGCCACAGGATGAACCATTGCATTGTTTTGGCCACTCTAGTCCGAAAGACCCCCTTGGCCCGGATCGAACTTGGACGTGGTGTGGGATCGGCGCCGTTGGGGCTTTGGAGGTCACCTGGTTGCGCCACAAGGTTTTGTTGGGCCCTCGTCGGGGCGCGGCAGAGATCTCAGTCGTGGTCCTCGCCCGCCCCCCCACCCCAGGCGCCGGTTGCAGTCCACATCCTTTGCAAACCAAGCCCTTCGGAGTCGCCGAGAGACCCTCAGAGGAGCAAGAGGTCATGATAACGGCCGAGGGATAAGAAAATGCACGGCATAGATCTAAATTTTCGGAGCTCCCCGCGGGTTTCTCATATCGGCGCTGGTCCTGCCCCCTCCCTCTCCTGGCGGCGCCTCCGGCGCCGCCCCTGCCGCGCTCCTCGCGCCAGGGAGGGGTTCCAGCGCAGATTCAATAATTCCGCGCTGACCTCCGAAAGTCACTTGGCTCCAGGACCGTCAAACATCGACCCTGGATGAACAGCGGGAAGGGGTCCAGACCTCTGGGCGGGTCCACGTCGTGAGCAGATCATGATCTCGGGGGTCTGGGTCGCAGAGCCCAGTTCGATCCGACCTGTCCGATCCGATGCCGATCCGATCCGGTTCCGATGTTCCTCTGCATCGCCACGGAGCAGGCGGGCGCCGAGGGAAACGGGACCTGCGGCTTTCCCTGGACCTGGAGCCTCCACCAAGGTGGTGGGCCATGTCCCGCCCCTCCCACCAAGAGGAGGCGCGGAGGCGACGCCTGAGAGCAGCCATGGGGACGAGGTCAATGGGTCTCCGCACTTTTTGAATCGATTCTTGTGTGTATTCGGAATTTGCTTTTGAATTGTTCACATCATTCTGCACACTGCCTTGTTGTACTCATGCATTGCTGGCACAGGATCGAGGAATCATGCGCTCGGGGTGGCCGGCGAGTGAATTTGTCGAGGATGTCTTACGCGGAGCTGATTCCTTCTCATACATCATATGCGGGAGTGCGGGGGGCCCGGACCCCGGGCCGGGACACCCTCCCGGATTTCCCCCCCCCCCCCCCTTCCTTTTGGGCCCCCCCCCTGGGGCCTCCCGGGGCCCCCCCCCAGGCCGACCAAAAGAGTTCCAGGGAGCCCGACTCAGCGACAAGAGCGGCGCAATAGCGCCCACGACGACCCAAGATGGCCTCAAGATGGCCGAAAAGCCCCCAAGAGGCCACCAATACGCGCCAAGAAGGCTCAACAATGCTTTCCAAGAGCGCCCCAGATGCCTGAAGTTGCCCCATTCCCTTGCGTTTTCAGCATACTCGCTTCTTCGGTCTTAACAGCGTATAACAGCGTCCAAGACGGCCCAAGAGGCCTCCAAGATCGCCTCAAGACGGTCCAAGAGGCCCCCAAGAGAGCCCCAGTAGAGCCCCAAGACTGCCCAAGAGCGTCCAAGAGGCGCCCCTGACGGCCTGAGATAGGCCAAAGGCTCCACCTCACATTCCGAGCCCCCCGCCCCAAGTCGACCCCACAGACCGCCAGCAGGCCCCCAAGAGGCACCCAAGACGCTCAAAAGAGGCTCCAAGAGGCCCCAAACAGCTCCCAAGAGGCCCCATAGAGGCTTCACAAGTGGCTCCCAAAGGCGCCCGAGAAGCATGCCAAGGGACCCCAAACAGGTATCCCACAAGCCTCTGACCCACAACCCAGACACGGTGGCAGTATGAGCCGACGACCCGTAGATAAGCAAACAAATAGCCTGGTGAAGGGCGCAACCTTTTGCAGTCACGCGTAGCGTAGGTCGCGGCCCTTTCTTCATATACTGCGTGCCGCGGGGCAATGCGGATAGGGGGCGTGCGCAGGCGCGCTGAACTCCTTGTTGTGGTCACGGTCCGCGTGAAGGGTGTGCCGAATATATTTTGGATGCACCCGCGGGAATACGCCCACTGACGCAGCAGGTGCAGCTCCCTGTGGGGCACCACCCGTGTGAGGCATGTGCCGAAATGGGCGGGGCGGGGGCACGCCATGCGAAGTTGCCCATGTGCTCCACAGGTGGAGCTCCTTCCAGGGCACGATTCGCGCGAGGGGCGAACCGGTTTCCACTTGAGAGGCAAACCAATCTTGGAGGAGATAATTTTGGTGGCTTCGCAACGTCGCATTTGACATGTGCTGATGGATGCGGTGCAGGAGCAGCAGCTGCCGCCGAATTATTGGTTGCAGTTCAAGGCTGCGTGGCTGCTACGGCAGCTACCAGGCTTCAGGTAAGTGGCCGGAGCCACGCGATGGAACCAACCGACATAAGCGTGTGATCCGTTGGCAATAAAAAATTGCCCAAGATGGCATCAAAACGGTACCAGTACGGCCCAAAGAGATTTCCAAGATGGCCCAGGAGGCCCCCAAGACGGCTCCCAAACGGCCCATAATACCCCGAAGACCGTATATCCAGCATGCTTCCGAGAGGCTCCACGACGGCTTAGAGACGGCTGGCAGTGGCCAGTAAGCTCTCTAACAATGCCCTCGAGAAACCAAAGTCATCGAATTGTGCGACCTGGAGGAGGTTCCTGGCTTTCGTTGCATATTGGTTTGGCCCCAGATGCGTGACGAGGAGGGCGGGGCGGCCTTCGATGCGCCCAGGCTCGGCCCTGGTGGCGTGTTCTACGGAGCCAGACTCGGGCACCCCTCCTCTTTGCTCAGTTCCTCCCCCGGTCCCAGGGCGGATTGAGAGAAGCGCAAGATGCGCGGAAGAAGCCTTCGCAATTCCCCTACACGTCGCCGGGATCCCCAATTTTAATTTCCGCAGGCCCCATTACCGCCCCCAAAGAAGCTCCATAGTTGCTTATTTGTGCCTCATTGGCAAGTCGCGATGCGAGTTCCTTGGGCGCGGCTAGAACCTGAGCGCGCGCGAAGCGCGCGCGTGGTTCTAGTTGACGAGCAACGATCGGCCTCCTAGATGGGTCCGAGTAAATGGGGTCGGAGGATCGCGCCGCATCGCCGATGCAGTGGCGATGCGGTTCGATGCGGAGCTCGATTTCTTCACGTCGACGTCGCCGATGCATCGCTTATGGCGACGATGCATCCGGTGCATCGCCGATGCGTCGCCGATACATCGCCGATGCATCGCCGATGCATCGGCGATGCTACTCCGACCCCATCTACGAGGCCTCTAATAACGAGCTTGGGGTGGCCTGTGAATGGATTTGTCGAGGATGTCTCAAGCGAAGCGCTTGTCTTGCAGAGATCGTGGCTATCTTGGACCGTCTTGGGGGCCTCTGGGGGCCCTTTTTTACCCGTCTGGGGGCCCTGTGTAAAGTCACGCGACCGACCCCGAGCGCGCCTCAAAGCGCCCGGAAGACTTCGTGGATGCAAGCATGGTACACTTTATACAGTCGGCCCAGATTGGTAGGTCGACCCTGCCAAATCAAGGGTACCCTTATGTCCTGTGTCTCGCGACCCATGCTTCCTGCATTCCTGCGGCAATGTGGCCCTCGGAGGGGTCTTGTGTCCTCTCGCGTGTCCTCTCCAGTCAAGCCCGACTGTCTGGGATTCTGGCCTCGGGGGCGCGAACCCGTCGTGGTTCACTACGCGTCAAAGGGCCCAGATCCGAATTCCCGGGAGACGATGGGGGATCCGAGCAGCCTCCCTCCCCTGACATACGTTCCAACGCGCAGAGTGACGTATTGCGCTTTTGGGCAGCCGCCTGGGGAGCGCGAGCCCGCCGAGATTCCGAAAAGATTCTGACCTCGGGGGAGCAAATCTTGAGTGCTTGCACCTGCAGATTTTTTTCCGTATGAGCTTCGCCCCCTGCCGCCGGACCCTTCTCGGAGAACGGGGCATGCAAGAGCTATGTTGTGAGGCCTGGGCGCCGGCATGAAGCAGCGCCAGAATTCCGAACGGGGGTGCCACTTACAAAAGAAAACGACATTACGAAAATGGAGTACTTTACGAGGGTTTGTGATTTCGGGGACGCGATGAACAGCTAATTTAAAAGGGATCGTGGCTTCGGGGACGCAACAATTGTTTAATCGACGGGAAAATATTGCCTTGGAGACGCGAGCATCATACAATTGACGAAGTATGATGGTTCCGGGGGCGCGAACATCGCGTAACCTGCGAAGGTGGATGGCCTCGGGGACGCGAATCTCGCGTTAAATTAAAAGTGATGACGGCCTCGGGGGCGCGAATCTTGGGGAGGGATTCTGGCCTCGGGGACGCGAGCACGGTGTAATTTACAAGGGTTCATGGATTCGAGGGCGCGAGCCGAATACATTTCGACGTGTCCAAGAACCCCCCCAGAAATTCTGACCCCCCTCAATGCGAAGGTGCCCACAGCGGTTTTCGACTCCCCCCCTTCGCGCGGACTTCAACAATTCGCAGTAGGAAGCACTCAGAAATGTATCACGGGAGACTGGAAACTGGAACTGGAGCAGGTAGCAGCAAGCCGATGCCGCGAAACCTGGTGGTCTCGCAAGGGGGCCGCCGGTCTTGGTTTTCTAAGGGAACTAAGCCTGGGTGTCGGTCTGGCGGCTCCGTGGTGGCTGTCGTGACCCCGTCGCCGCCTCGTCGCCGCCCGTCGTCTCAAGCTGGGTAGGTGCTGGTCTGGCGGCTCATTGATGCCGTGGCCGCCCCGTCGCCGCCTCGTCGCCGCCTGTCTTTTGGGCCTGCGGGTCTGGTGGCTCCGCCCGGCGACGGGGCTGCGACGCCAACCGGGCACCGATGCCCAAACGACGGGCGGGAACGAGGCGGCGACGGGGCGG